TAGTTATTTTAGTACAAGATAAGCCGCCTAATAATTGAGCGGGATAATTATATCTCTCATATGCAATATTTTTATGTATAAGAAGATAAGAAGATAAGCTTGCTAACATTTGAGAGGGATAACGTTCTCTCTCATGTGTAGTTCTTTTAAATATAAAATAATTCGACTAACAATTGAGCGGGAGAATTTTCTCTCCTGTGCGTAGTTCTTTTAGGTATAAGATATGCAGTATTTTCATGTATAAGAAGATAAGTTTGCTAACATTTGAGCGAGATAACGTTCTCTTTCATGTGTAGTCCTTTTAAATACGTAGTATAAGATAATTCAACTAACAATTGAGCGAGAGAATTTTCTCTCCCATGCCTTGTGCTTTTAGGTTTAAGATAAGCCGTCTAACTATTGAGAGGGATAATTTTCTCCCTAACATGTAGTGCTTTATGTATAATACGACAAACTTGCTAACAATTGAGAGGGAGAAATTTTTCTCTCATATGTAGTGCTTTTATGTATTAGAATATAAACTTGCTAACAATTAAGCGGAGAATTTTCAATCTTTCACATATGTAGTTCTTTTAAGTATATAAGATAAGATAACCCGGCTAATATTTAAGCGGTAGAATTTTCTATCTCATACGTATTGATTTAGGTATAAGATAATTCGGCTAACAATTGATCAGAATAACTTTATCTCATATTTAGTTCTTTTAGGTATAAGATAAACCGGCTAACAATTTAGCAGAATAATTTTCTCTCTCATATGTTAGCACTAATTTGACTAATGAGTAGCAAGTTCTTATTCAACTAATATTTGTTAATTATAATATTTTGTGTTCACTTAAATTTTATGTCATTCACTTATTGTACTCACCTTTTTAGAATAGTATTTATTTTTAAAATTAATTTAATCATCAAAATTAAATAGTAGCAAATTGTAATGAGTGGTGTCAATTAATTTTCCGTAAGATACTCTTCATCAAACATTTATTGTGTGTGTATTAGGTTATTATACTCTTAATTTTCGAAAATGTACAATGCTAAAAAGTTATTTTTATTTTAATATTTAATTAGATTCAGACTAAAAATATATGCACCAACTTCTTTTTCCCATGGGTATGCACGGGTACTATACTAGTTGTTAATAAAACTTTGTTTTTCATATGCATTGTACTTTCTTTTCATTACTATTTTAATAAAACTTTATTTTCTGTAAAAAACAAAGATTAAAAAAAGTTATCGGAAAAGTGGTGTCACACTTTACCACTTTTTTTAAATTAATCTTCATCATCATTTCAATTCATTCTCTTTCTCATGTATTATGTTTCTTTTATTTTCCAAATAATGTGTACATAGATGAAGGAACAAGAACTATGGTTTTTACTAAAATGGTAAATCAGTTACAGTCAAATTGACATTTTAAATTTATTCACAACTATGATATTTAAATATGACCACTATTTTTTTTTATCCCGGAAGGCAAACCACCAAAATCAGTGGGGTAAATGCCGGGAGTCAGATACCAGGATTTTATTAAAAAAAATATCTGAATATAAGAAAGAGGGGGACTATACCAAAACCTCTTTTTAAACAAAATTATCGGATGAAAATACAACATAAACAGAAATTAATGGAAACGTAACGCAGCTATACCAAACAGATCCATATAATAGGCCCGCTTTGCCATCACAGGTAAATCGACCGGTCTGAAAAAAACTTATAAGGGCCCAGAATGACCACTATTAATATACTAATATGATCTTCATATATCTTTCATAGCATAATAATGATTCACTGTTGAAGAGGATAAAAATCTTTCAATGGTCAGCTTATGCTTAATTAGGTGTTACTTTTGTATATGAACATTTTCTTCTCGATCATTTTTGCATCATATTGTTTACTAGCTAAACACAGACAGAGACATCTGATACTTCCTCATTTAGCAATAAATGGCTTCAGGTATGGCTTTTGTGAAGACAATCAGGTGTTTCTCAGGTGGTCCTTAATTAGGTTGGTGGACTTGAAGGGTGAAGCCCATGTGTTATTGCAACATTTGTCTTCTCTCCCAGTTCCCAAAGAGAAGGCAATCTAGAATTAGACCATAGTTCGGGCTATATATGGCTTAATTATCTATTAGATATTGAACTTTGAAGTAGATAATTATACAATTGAAGTGTTTTCCTATAAGTTAGACCACAAAGTAATCATTATAAGTGAAAGCCAACAAAATAATGCACCTTTAAAACCGAAATAGTTGAAATTTCAGATGACATTTTCTGGCATGATTTCATGACTACATGAAGTTGTGATTCCACCAAGGCAAAAGGACGTGAACCAATAGTAACATGCTAAAAACTAACCACGCTGCATGACAAATAACTTTTTGTTTGTGTCCTGTATCATAACCTAACTGTTTTTTGATGGAGATGATATATGATGTGCTAGCTTTTATAGACATGCTGCCTCATAATAAATTACTTGCCACTCTCATGGAGTGAACTCATTATTTATGTTTCTTTGTTGCCACTCTCATGGAGTGAACTCATTACTTGTGTTTCTTTGTTGTTGTTACGCTGTTAGTTTGCTTCTTTCATAAGGAGTTAAGGTTTAATTTGATATGTTTAAATTTCAAGGTATCTTTAATAGTTACCAATCATGTAAAGAATGAAATGTTGATTTTCAAGATCACGTTACAAGCATACATTTCAGTTCTCATAGAAGTGCTTCATTTCTTACCTTTTTCTTTGGTGCCAACTGTGTGAGTATTAGTTTTCTTCAACTCACTTCCTCTTCTCTATTGCTTAGATATTTAAGTGTCAACTTTTGTTTCAGAGCTAAGAAGAACCATGCTTAAGGTGAGAACTCCACTTTTAAGCAAATGTGATGCACTATATCGTTTACACCTTGCACATTTTCGTGTTGACAAAATATTTATGAATCAGCCACCACATTTATTTGATGATGGCATGTTTTGACCAAAGTTTAAAAAGTGTAATAGATTAGCCCTGTCATGCATCAAATTGTGTTAAAAGTACATGGTTCTCACGTTAAACATGATTCTCATTGGAACCGCTCCCTATATGTATATGTATATATATATATATATATATATGTATAGAATAGAGATCAAATACAAACCATGCTTAATTTACAAAGTACAAACTTATCTTGACCATCCGATGAGTTGATCTAAAGGATATAAAGGCAAGGTGGCATTTTTGTAATAAACCTAACTTTTCTAGGATGCAACTCGTTGAACGGTAATGTGCAACTGCTATTTTATGACTATATAATATGCAACACATTGAACCTCAATATGCAGTGAAAATAACGTCAAGGTGCATCGTACAAACATTTGCACAATAAGCACACTTTGTACTTGATCTTTCCCCTATATATAACGTCAAGATGCACTATATCGTTTACACCTTGCACATTTTCGTGTTGACAAAATATTTATGAATCAGCCACCACATTTATTTGATGATGGCATGTTTTGACCAAAGTTTAAAAAGTGTAATATATTAGCCCTGTCATTCATCAAATTGTGTTAAAAGTACATGGTTCTCACGTTAAACATGGGGAAAGATCAAGTACAAAGTGTGCTTATATATATATATATATATATATATATATATAGGGGAAAGATCAAGTACAAAGTGTGCTTATTGTGCAAATGTTTGTACGATGCACCTTGACGTTATTTTCACTGCATATTGAGGTTCAATGTGTTGCATATTATATACTCATAAAATAGCAGTTGCACATTAACGTTCAACGAGTTGCACCCTAGAAAAGTTAGGTTTTATTACAAAAATGTCACCTTGTCTTTATATCCTTTAGATCAACTCATCGGGTGACCAAGATAAGTTTGTACTTTGTAAATTAAGCATGGTTTGTATTTGATCTCTATTATACACACACACACATGATTGAGGCATTACATCCTTAAAATAGGGTTATTATATATCCGGCTTTTTTATGCCACAAGTATACACATGCTTCAGACATTATATTATCCACTGTTAAGATAAAGACAATCTATATTGAAAATAATCATTAATCTGATGATCTCTTAATTTAATAGAAATAATATGAATCACGCATCTAGGGATGCATATAGAGAGAGTCTAACCATTAGTTAATGTTTTTCTTGAAGTAACATATTTGTGTAAGAGTACCTTAAAGGGTTATCAAGAACTATTCATTTGAGTGAATTTCTAAAATTTATCTTGACATGTAATAACACATTCTCATTGCTTGATAATTAATATTTATTTCAATAACTTAAGACAAGCATAACCCTCAAATTATATGTCAAATCTATGTTCTTATAGTGACTTCTGAAACATTTAAACTCTCTAGTTTATAATAGTTTTTATTTTGTTTGGAGAAACATTCTATATAAATATCTTCCTAATTAAATCATTCTTGTCCATGCATGCAAGAACACATGTCTTGTTTGTGTGTGTCTATGTGCATAAAAATGATAAAACGTGATGTTGATGTAAGAGGGTGTGTAAAGTTTGATCTACAAAAAGTTTGATCTTTTTTAGGTTTGTTGGTGAATCTTGAATGATCACTTTTAGAAAAATGGTAACATTTTTTAATCCACTCAAAATCTTGGTAGTTTATAAACATTTAATCTCTTTTCCCATCGGAAACACGACAAATTTACCATAAGTTGCACTTACATATAACACTTCTTTGTAGTTTAGTAACTCCATGTATCATTTCATTCATGCATTTGGCCTATATGAAAGTATCTTGAATGACAATGAACTCTCACAGTTGAGGAAAGAAAGTTTCTAACAAAACATTACACTTTGTTTTAAAGAATTATTATCTTTCCCCACATATTTGGATTTTAAAGAGTCTCATATGCATGAGTCTAATGGAAATGGTTTGGAATCCCTATCTCATTCTCACAAATACTTATTGAGATGCGATAGTGTAAAAACAATATTTTGTAAATTGCATTTATCACCTTAAACTAATCTTTTTGAGTGATTTCATGTATATAAAAAAAGGAAAGGTTGATTTTTTACATGGTGTGATTCATCCACCTAAAACGAGCTTGAGGGAAGCTCGCTGCTCGGTGGTCAACTTGGTCGGGAACTTAACTTCAAAGATAACCTTCAAATCACCCCTACTCCCAGGATCTTTCGCAATGGGCATGCCTTCTCCTTCAACTACCATTTCATACCCCGGTCTCACCATCTCTTTCACAGTGATCGGTAGGTTCCGCCCGTCCAATGTTGTTACGTTTAACGTTGTCCCTCCAATTGCCTCTGCTAACGTTATCGTGAAGGTAATAACCAGATCGTTCCCATCTCTCTTGAACACTTCATGTGGCTTCTCATCAATCACAAAAACAAGATCTGCAGGAAGCTGGTTCACTTGCTCATTCCCTTTGTCTGGAAATGTTATCTTTGTTCCTTTCTTCCACCCTGGCTTTAAATCAATGGATAATATCTCTGATTCTTGTTGTAATCTCCTGCATATCCATGGATTTATGAATGTACAAGGCTAGTTTTTTTTTATAGAATTAGAATGCATTTATGCTAAATCCATTAGCACATATCACATGTACAATCAAAATTAAATTTATAGATTCAAGTTAAATCTAATACATACCCATTAGCATTCAACACAGTTCTAGAGATCTTCATCTTTCTAGTTGAGCCAGAATAGAGCTCCTCAAGGCTGCAGGCTAATTTAGTCTCCACTGGGGCTGGCTTCTGCTTTGTCATACTGCTATTACTGTTTCCATCACTTGTCGATCTAAAGAAACGATAATCTCCGTTACCTGTAGAATTAGTAGAGGAATTTCCTCCTCCATCATAGGATGTAAACCTGTTTGATGATCTTCCACTTCCACCTCCTCCACCCCCACCTGATCCAAATCCGAATGGGCTGCTCCCAAAAAATTCTGCGAATATGTCCTCAGCATTTCGTGGATTGAACCCGTTTTGGTATCCAGGTTGTTCATTTGAGACTGACATGTCTTTTAGCCCTTCTTCACCATACTGATCATACACTTGCCTTCTCTGTGGATCACTCAATACCTATGCATACAAAGTCATGATGAATCAAATGCTCATTGATACTACCTACCCGATAGTAAATTTTGTTTTATGGTTATCATGCTTGACAAATGTTAAAGTTAAATATCTCCTGATAACACACATGTTGGAGTTAGTAGTTTCAATTTTGATATTTAAAAACTATACTATAAATTTTATTGAGTCGCAAAAAAGTGAATTTGAATATGAAAAAAGTTTTGTATACTAAATTCAGATATTGATATAAAAAAACTAAGCTGGCCAAATGAACAATAACAATAAATTTTATTTAGGGACAGATACAAAAAGAAAAATTGAATTTAATGAATTTCAGTAGTGAATATAAGTTTTGACTTTCATTGGACCACATTTACTAATTTGATATATAAACAAAAGGGGCATGACCTTCTATTTGTTCTTTAAGAAACAAATGATCTACCTATTTGCTGATTTTGAATTTTTTGACAATGATATGAGCTATGATCCTAATTTAATTGTTTATGAAAAAAACTAACTTTAATGTATTGATTTTGTTTGCTCAGTGGACAAAAAATAACTTCATATCTAATAAGTTATAATCACGGATCTTCTAAAAATATAGTCAATAACTCAATAAGGGTATATCTTATATGGTGGCGAAAAATAAGTAATTGCACAATCATTTCTTAATATACTATATTTCCTTAATTGAATAGCATGGAAACTCCTTTCAAAATATGAATGGATAAACAGTAACATATGTCCAGTCCTCATCAAAACTTCTTGTGAAGAAGTTGGTGAAAGTATATATATGCAGCCTATGTCCTAGATTGTTTTTCAGTTACTATCAAAAGTACTTGACGGAACTAATTATATTTAAATTAATATAAATAAATAAAATCACATATTTAGAAATTAGACAATATTTGTTACTAGTACTTCAAAAATGAATTCAAATATGATCCAAATTTGATACCAAAAATAAACTGAATTATGACAATCGTATGCAAACCTTTTCACAAAGTTAATATGCAAATTAAAAAATTGAAAAGGGGATGAATTAAGGAAGGGAATGTAGGACAGACCTCATACGCCTCGGAGATCTGCTTGAACATGGCTTCGGCTTGAAGCTTATTGGTAGGGTTCTTGTCAGGATGCCATTTCATTGCCAGCTTCCTATAAGCCTTCTTCAGGTCTTCATCCGTCGCCGTCTTATCCACCTTCAATAAGCTGTAATAATCCATCCCCATGCTCCCTCTCTTTTTATTGTTTCCTATAACTATTATCTATGTGTATACCCCTCAATGTACATATATGTACCTATATGAAGATTGTGTTTTGTCTTCATAAATTATTTATGGCAATTGCAGAAATATTTGAAAGAGTTTTGATTTGGTTTGGTTGCTGGTTTATGTTAGATCATGTGTTTATTTAAAATGGCGATGATGATCGAACAATGCATATAGAAGATGAAGAAACTATTATTAAATTCCTCCTGCGAATTGATTGAATTTAAAAGCGATTTTGAAAATCTTTAGCTCCTTCCGTCCGTTTTCTGGATTTGGGAATGACGCCAAATTATTTTTCTAATAGTTAGATAAGCTAATAAGGGAAATTGGGAAAACGGAACTAAAATAAGAGATAACTTTCTCTTGAAAAAACAATAATACATGGCCTTAGAGCATCCACATTCATGATTTTAAAATAATCTGATTATTTGTGACTCTTACCTTTTAAAATTTGCCACATAAATGTTTTGGAAATAATCTCATCCCCTTCCGAATTACCTTCAACCATCATCCCGAAATAATCTGATCTTTTGTGGGTCTTGTAGCAACTAATTAACTCTAATTTCATAGATAATCTCAAAATAATCTGGTTTCATATTTTGATCTCAGATTATTCTATCAATTAATTCTGTCCAATAATCTCTCTCACTCAACCATGCTCTCCCAAATAATCTGCCATGTCACTAGAATAATCACTTAATAATCTAAAGGATGGTGATGCCCTTAGGAAAGTCACTTATACCCCCACACTTTCAAACTAGCCAATTAAACCTCGTTTTTTTTTTACAAATTTCCAATTGACCAATTTTATACGTAAATAATCAGTTAATTGTACATGTGG